ATATCATCCTGAGAAGCCATTGCCCCTGTATGAAACTAAGGGGATGCCCTGAGCAGATTTTGGGCCGAGATCTGTAGCTTGAGCCAAAAATTCCTTGAGCCAAAATGGCTACCCCCTAAACCCTAAACCCTCAACCCTAAACCCCAAAAGCTAAGGAAGGGGAACAGCTTCCTTGCATTCTACGGGCCTCTGGATGTCGTTCTGGGACAGGCGCCCCTTTTCATTTGCTATTTGGATCTCGCCTGAGCAGACCGCATTGTGTGTAGGGTTGCTCTAGGGGGCCAACTATACAAGTAATACCTACATTGGACCCCAATGTTTGCAAATACTACCTACATTGGGCTCTTCTGATCCCTACGGCTATGTGGAGTGATAAAGGTGTATGCTGCAATTGCTTGGCTGAGCCGCAGGGCCTGTCTGTTTGCGTCGGGACCTGCACCTCTATGGAGTGATGGGACATTGGAGAAGAGAATGGAAACCACCCACTCTAATGCGTATCTATAGGATTTCTGTGAGCTATAGGCTAAGTCTAGGCTCCTAGTATTCCCCTTAATACCCCCTGTAATACTCCCCTATATAACCCCCCATATAACCCTGTAAGGAGTTTAGACAATAGCTCACGTAAACCCAGCACGTTGGCTATGATCCATCCTGCATTCTGGAGAGACTGTACAATCTGAAGACTCAATATGACCGCAATCAGTATCGCTGAGCACTCAGGGCCTTTTTTGTGGACATGGTTTGGCTTACCGTAGCCTGCGAACCCAACTTTTAGCTTGCGCAGCGGCCCTTTGTTCTCGCAAAAGCCTATAATCCCCCTAAAGTAGATAGAATATGGCTTTGGTTGTATTATAGTAAGATCCCCATATACCCCATATTCTATCTACTTAAGGGGGGCTATACCCACAGCCCTTTAACTGTTAGCATGGCCACAGCAACAATGCATTCCAAGCTGAGTAGGCCGACAAATCAGAGCTAACACTGATTCCATTCTTTTGCTGCAATCTCAGACCCCCAAAAGGATCTAAAAATTAGATCCCCTAGGACCATAAGGGAAATTATATAAGGATTATATAGGGGCTATAAAGGGTCTATATAGGGATCTAATTTTTAGATCCTCCCAGGGGTCTGGGATAGCTTAAGAATCCCACGTCTCTGCTGATGGCAGCTTACTTTCTGCCGGCTTCCTGCTTGTTAGAAGGGTCGGTTGCGGCTGCTAAGTGCTGGCTAGTCGCTCTTCTTCTGGGACTTTGCATCTTCAGCACTGACCTTCCCGGATCGGCATGTCATCCCCGACTGTTGCACTTCAAACTTACAACTCGCTTAGCCTGGTCGTGCGCTCTATGGGTAGAAACCCTAAAGCCTAGGAGTTGGAATGGCTGAGCAACTTCATCACGCTCCTTCAAAGCCAGAGGGCCCTTGTGGCTATAAAGTACACACTTGGAGCCCAAGTAGTTCTGTTGGAACCCCCTTGCACCCTAAGTATATAATCTTCGTACAAACTACCATTTTAAATACTCTAAACCCTAGACGCTAAACTTGCTGAGCCCTGTCTATATATACATATATATCTTGTTATGCATGCATGTATTGTATGTATAAATATGTATATATATATATAGATGGTACCCCCCCCCAGTTATCTACCTAACTCTGGGTTTTTGGCCTCATTGGGAGGGGGGATAGATTATTTTGGGTTTTAGGCCTCATGGGGAAGGGGGTATACTATTCAGAGTTTGGAAGACGTAGGAGTGTGAGATGAAGCGGTTCAGAGTTTTAAAGACTTAGGAGTTTGAGAGGAAGCGGTTCAGAGTTTTGAAGTTCAAAACTGAGTTTTGAACTTCAAAACTCCCGGATCCTAGATTCAAGATTCAAGATTCCAGGAAAAAGTCTCCCCAGAATCTTGAATCTTGAATCCGTGAGTTTTGAACTTAACTTCAAAACTCCGTTTCGAAATCCCATTCACTACTCTCTTCCAGAATAAAGAGCACCCCCTATATACCCTATGTATATATATATACACCTCATAGAATACCATCTGGAATACCCTATAGAATACCTCATAGAATACCCCGCATAAATGATACCCCCTGTATACTTTACATATACGCTGTAAAGTATCCTATAAAGTACCGTATATCTTAATATTATATGCTAGAATTATAAACATACTTATTAATCTCAATAGTTAATCTATATGAGGTATAGAAGGGATATCATATATACGGAATGTTCCATGAGGTATTCTGGGGGATATTCCAGAGGTATTCTATAGAATACATAGAAGGTATATAGGAGGGTATTATATGACGTATTCTACATGTTACGTTAGTTATATCTATTCTCCTTCTTGGAGAATAATCATTTTAAGTATTGAGATAGGGGGGAAACCCATTCTTGAAATTAGAGGAAAGGACAGGACCCCCTTATTTACATAGTCAAAATAGACAAGATAATTAGAATAACTAAGTAATTGAGATAGATTATTTTGATAATTTCTCTTGTTACATAAACTACTTAAAGTTCATTGCTTTAATGATCTTAATTTATGTTTTTTGTCCATTTTGTGAAGGGTCTACGGAAAATACATTTTATTTCAAGATCCACCTTCAGTAGTTTTCGAGGTTTTTTTGAAATATTCGTTTAGACCCTAAAAACGGTGAATCTTTGGGGGAGGGGTTGCAAGCGAATGACATACTCAGTTTGTCGCATTTATTTAATCTCGCTAGTTTATTTGGAGAAATCATATACATCTACTGACATACTTAATTTACGTAATCTACTTAATCTATCTGTTCTATTTGTTCTATTTATTCCATGTATTCTATCTATTATACTTCTTTCATTAAAGAGACCCTGGAGGCCAGCCCAAGGGCCAATAATTCAACGATCTTTCGTATTTCATGTATGTAATTTCTTTAATAAAGGTTAGAGAAAGAAATGAATAAATGAATGATTGGATGCACTTACTTTACGTAATATATTGAACTTGCTTCTGCCGCTGCCAGTGCTGCAAGTATGGTCACGGCCCTGGTTCCTACCGGTATTACTATTACTTTTAGTCCTTCACAATAGCACTGGAATCTTTGCGAATCGTACTGACCAGGCTCAAAACGGCAGATAACGGGGGGGGGGGGTAGCATATATATATATATGGATGTATGTAAATGTGTATGTACATGCATACACAGTTTATATACCTACATGGACCAACCCCAAGCGCTAAACCCTAAACCCTTAACCCTGTTTTGATTCTGCTCGCAACCCTAAAACCCTAAACCCATTTTTGAATCTGCCCTAAACCCTAAACCCTTCTTGGAATCTGCCCTAAGCCTAAACCCTAAAACCCTAAACCCATTTTTGAAACTGCCCTAGACCCTAAAAACTTTGTTTAAATCTGCCCTACGCCCTAAACCCGGAAAACCAAGCGACCTGCAGAATGCCATTGGTGTCAATGGTGAAAGTCACCTGGATCTTCGGAACTCCCCTCAGGGACTTTGGGATGTCCTGCACAAAAGAACTCAGACTCCCAAAAGGATCTAAAAATTAGATCCAGGGTTTAGGGTTTAGGGTTCTAGAACCATAGGGGGGATTATATAAGGATTACATAGGGGTAATAAAGGGTCTATATAGGGGATCTAATGTTTAGATCCTCCCTGGGCTCTGGGAGCTTCAATCTAGAGACTAGGGACCCAGGGTTAAGGGTTTAGGGTTCAAGGCTTAGGGTTTGGGGTTTAGAGTTTGGGGTTTAGGGCTTGGGGTTTAGGGTTTGGGAGACTGGCATTAACCTCCAGGATACGTAGTAGTATCATATGGATAGGACTGGCATATGATAGGAGTATGAGTATGACAGAATTCCATAATAGTGGGTACTTGGGACATATACAGTGGGGCGAATACTCGAGCTGCCAGGCACACCAATGAAGCACCAATGCATCTGTCTTTCTGGAACCGAGCCTCCCAGCAAGCCACGCACAACCATAGACAATCCCAACAACGGGCCCGTGCAGGGATATGATCTGTACTTAGGGCCCACAGGGGCTGTCACATGACGACGCTGGGGCTCGAGTATATGCGTACTATATAGCAGCGTAAACCGTTTGTGCATGGAACCAGCCGACAAAAAAAGGGGGAAAACATCAAAGGCGCACGCCTTGAAACCACAGACGTCAGATGACGATGTCACGACATGTCAGGACCACTGCTGGCACACAAGTCCTTTAGCGTGAACTTACCCAGGAAGTTGTTGTCTTTCACCATGGCCCGCTCTCCCTCATAGACGGAGATGTCCACGTGGTCCTCATCAACCAGAGCGCTGCACCATGCCGGACCCCTTGCTGCAACTGTACTTGATGCCATTTGGCAGCTTCAAAACTCATGGCATTGGGTGGACGGGGTTGCTGTTAAGGCACTTAATTAAGTCACCATACTATGGGTATGTAGAAAATAACGGGTGTTCTTTCTTACACGAACTTAAGTTCAGTTCCTCAACAGCGACCTAGTCCAGGGTCTAGGCTCTACACGTTCAGAACCCTAAACGCGACACCCCGCTGGCCTGGTAGTCCTCAAAAGTTGTGAAGTCTTGGCTTTTGCTCGTAGGAACTGTGCTGTTCCTCTCGATTAAGACCTGGCAATGAGGCCAGGGCGGAAAAACTGGCGTCCCATTCGCCAGGCTAGAGAGACATTTATGTATGCTTTTATGCAAGATATATATATATATGTACACCAGAAACTCGAGATATATCTGTACACATATCCCTGAACCCTAAGCCCTAGACAGGGATCAGTAAGGTTCTATTTGGAATTTCTTTGTCGTTGGGGTTACACCGTCTATAACCCCATAGCCAAGGAGGACATATAGTGATGTTATGGGGATATGAGAAAGACATTCCAATTCAAGGCTTAGGGTTTCGTACAGGGATGTGATAAGGCTGCTATTGCGGTACAACTTTGTATATATGCGGATATTAGAAGGACTTCATAGGGATAGTACAGGGACATTATGGAGTCAAAACAGATGGAGAAACTGTATGTGTTCAGATACTGTCAAGGTGGCGCATGTTGATTCCGACATGTTCTCCAAACCCTAAAGCCTAAATCCCAAGTGCCTGCATCATGCCTCCTGCTGTCTCAATGCCCAGGGATAGGGGAGCCACGTCCAGCAAGAGCCTTGGACTTTCCATCCAGAAATGTAACCGATAGGGTTATATTATACGGTGTCTGCAGATGGGATATCTAGCCGGGTCCATGCGGCTGAATAATAAATACTTGAGGCCCTTTGGTGGCTTTAAGTCGCAGCACGAACTTCAAATCCAGAAGGCTAGTAGTAGTCCGTGTGCTTAAGGGCCGAGAATTCAAAGGATCGGCAACCCACTTTTTGATGCCAAAGCCTATGCAAGGGAGTTCCTACTGATCCTGAACCCAAAAAACCTGGATACTGCACCCACCCCAAGAAAGCCCCAAACGTCGTTGTAGCCGTGTCATACCCCTACGAGAAAGGGAGGATTCCATATGAACATATGTGCGTATAAACACACACACACACATATATATATATGTATGCTGACATCAGTACCACTTGTTTGTGGTAATGGTGGACTTCATTTAGTGTGCCACATATCGCTTGGAGGCCATGCAGGTATTGTTTCGGGGCATTTTTTAGAGTGCGACCAGCTGCATGTTCTGCACATCTTCGTGGCCTTGACCAGAGACAATGGCTGCTTGCACCGCAGCTCCATAAGCCACAGCCTGCAGTACTTGGAGGCTCAAGGTAAGTATCACACAGTAGGCTTGTAGTTATAACTCGATGAGAACCATATTAGGGCACTTAGGACACGAAGGTATGGAAAAGACAATGCAAACTGTTTTGTCTTGCGGGTTCTACAGAGACTTGGATCCACGCCTCCACTCCCTACCACCCACCAGTAAAACTAAGCCCACTGAGGGCAGAGATGTGGCCTGACAAGCGCTGCAGCTTGCGGAAGTTGCCGACTACCTAAATTCTCCCTGGCCTGCCTAGGTCATTCCTGCCCCTTATTTGGGTGAGCAGACACGGAAGAGACACGACGCATGCGCTGGAGAGACAATGTGATGTGCCTATGGAGAATGGATGGATAGAACCGCTCCGGCCTCCTCCCTGTAAACCCCTTATTAATAAACCCTTTCCCCTTAATGGGGATTATAATGGGAATCCTAACATTACGTCATTACGGCCTTTGAAAGGAGGGGGTCTATTAGTCATGCAGCCTCTTGCCAGCCCTGCTGGGCCGGCTTCGCCCCCCTCCTGTGGGGTCACGGGGCTCCAGGTAACCTGCTCAAACACAAGACCATTTTCACTACATGGGTGGTTGTCAAAATTATGGTCCCTTTTTGGATCCCTATTATACTACGTCACCTAGTATTTAGGAAAATTTAGGATACCCAAAAAGGGACCATAACAACCACCCACATGGTTTTTTTTTGCCTGTGGTCTCTCACCGCAAGTGGGAGGGAGCAGAATCGCTTGGCGCAGGATGTCGCGCCACCTACGGGGCCTTGGAAGTGGAGTGGCGCCGTCTGCCCATGGACTTTCAGCCCGCACGCAATGCGACGCTTTAACCCCTAAAACACTAATTCCTAGCGACTAGCTGACCTAAACCCTAAACCCGAAACCCTACAGTAGCCAAACCCTAAACCCTAAACCTTAAACCCTAAACGCTAAACCTAAACTCGACCTTGCCTGGAAAGTTTGGTAGAAATCAAACTCTCAGTTGGAAGGACACGAAACGACAGAGTTCGAACATTTGTTTGGGGCACTCCTGCTAAACCCTGAAGTCTACACCACACATCAACCCTTTTGCATAAACCATAAACCCTATGCTGCTTCAGGATGCCTCTTTGATATTCCTGTATTGGCCTAAAAATTCTATTTTAAAGCATCTTCTGTACCACTCTTCTACCCTTGACGCTCAATAACCCCATACACCCTATAACACCCCTCTAGCCCTGTGACTCCCAATAATTCTAGACCCTAAACCTTCAGCCGCTCTGAGAAGCTAACCCGAAATCCTAGATGTCCTTATGAAACCGCAGTTTGCGTCAAATTTCCATTTGCTCTCCATTCGATTCTCTATTCCCTACCAACCACCAGTAAATGACCTCTAAACCCTAAACCCAAAGCCGCTCAAGTCGGAATTCGCATGCCTCGTCGGGGTTAATACTCTTGCAGAGCTCCTTCCCGCTAAAGTGTCCTGCCGCAGAACTTCTTCGGGTACTGTTTAAGGTTTAGGGGGTATATTGGGATAATGGAAAAGAAAATGGAAACTACCATTTAGGGTTTAGGGTTTAGGTTGGGTACTGCCCCCACCCAGTAACAGTCTATATTAGGGTTCCTATTTAGGGCTATATATAACCATATTGTATTATTATCCAACTGTTACTGAGGGGGGGGCAGTACCCAATATACACACTACAACGCGTAAGTGTTGTCTATGAGTGGCTATAGGACGTAGCCCCTAAACCCCACACGGATTTCCCTACATAAGACCTTTTGGCGCACCCACCGGAAAACACCCGTCCACGATCAAGCCTTGCGGTCCCCAAACAAAGCTCATATTGGGGTTATGTAGGGATAATGGAAAAGAACATGGAAACTACTATTTAGGGTTTAGGGTTTGTCCTGACCCTCAACCAGGGGCTTTGCCCCAAGTTGGGATCTGTTAGGGCAAATGGGGATTGTCTGGGGTTCAGGGTTCAGGTGGAACCCGGTAGAGGTTTCTAGGGGTGATTACCACCATTATAGAGACAAGAAACCCTAAATCCTAAAGCCTACAGCCCAAACCCTAGAGCATACATCCTAACTCGCAAATTCTGAACCCTAAACCCTAAACCTTATCTGCCACCTCTTCATGGTCCTTTGATGAGCTCTTGGACCTTCGGGATGCGTGTAGATCCTTCCAGCACACACGGGATGATTGATTGAAATTGCTAATCGTGCTTATACTAATACTAGTAGAAATAAATGTAACCATCTTCATCATCTTACTCTTAAAGTAAGAATAGTAGCCGTAGTAGCAGCAATTCCAATTGTAATAGAAATCGTGATGGCAATCTTGATTGTAATAGTGAATAGTGGTACTTCAGCAAAACCCAATGCCGGCGCTGGCATAGAGACAGCCTTGTACCCGCCGCTGCTACAAAAGAAGGCTTGAATAGCCCTATGCACCTTCATGAAGCCTACATGCCAAACTCTTGCAGGTGGCCTCCAACCATAACGATGTCCGAGATCGCCTTCTGTGGGAGGTTGCTGTCCTGTGACGACTTTCGGATTACAGTGGCTCGTGCCCCCAAACCCTAATACCTAAAACCCGTATACCCACACCCTAAACCCTGAAATCCTACCCTAAACCCTGAAATCCCACCCTAAACCACAAACCCTGAAACCCTACCCTAAACCCTAAACCGTCAACCCTGAAATCCTGTGGAAGGACCATTGAGTATTGGCCCCCTGGTCTTTGTAGCAGCCGAGGCCGGGAGTTCGTCAGGGATTACAATAGGACCCCTATCAGGCCTTATTAAGCCCTATATAGGCCTTATTAGCTCCCTTTGGGGGGCGGGGGGGGGACTATTGTGATACCTAAAATGGTCTGTTTGGTTTTGGGATCATACCGGGGGGGTCTGGGGTTCATGGGTTTAGGGTCTAAGGTTTTGGGGTTTTGGGTTTAAACTTTAGGGGTTTAGGGTCTAGGGTTTTTGGGTTTAGGGGGTTAAGGTTTAAACTTTGCGGGTTAAGGGTCTAGGGTTTAGGGTTTAGGGTCTAGAGTGAAAATGGTTAAAGATGACAGGAGATGATAGGATATCGTCTAGTTATAACTTGGGTTTGACCTACCTAGGGCTTACATCTACCAATTGCAAAGGGTGCCGCCGCAAACCGTTTGAGTCGGCGGTAAGTGGTTTCTCGTTGATAAGGAAGCTCGCCCCCTAAACCCTGAATTACCCTAAACCCGGTTTAGGGTTTAGGGTCCCTAAACCCAGCCTACCGGCCGGACCGTACATCTCGCATATCTCCTTCAGGCACTGCTCAACGGGCTCCATGACCTTCTTGAAGTAGTCCTTAGTGGGTTTAGGGTTTACGGGGTTTACGGTTTAAGGGCTCAGGGGTGTCTTCCCTTCCAAGAAGCCCCCTATACGCATATACATATACATATACATGTACATGTACATGTAAATACACACATGCACACACACCCACAAAACCCTAAGCATATGAGCTATAATCAAAAAGCTCCCAGTATCCCGCTTAATAAGCCCTATAATACTCCCCTATATAACCCCCTATGTAAGTCCCTCAGCTCATATGGGCAGTTACATGTGTTTATAAGCACATGTATGAATTTGGATGCGGGAATGCAAAAGAGAAGGGAGCGGGGACTAGCAACTAATAATCCAGTGAACGATGGCTGCGCAAACCGTATACCATCTAACCCTAAACCCTGACGCGTAAAGCCCTAAAACCCTAAAACCCTAAACACTAAAACCCTAAACCCTAAACCCAAATTTCCCGATCCGCCAATACCAACGCTCGAACTCGACATCTCTAAGCCCTCAACGGCTCCGCCTCCCAAGTCAGAGCCAAGGCTCCATGCACAACTCCTCAAACTTTGCCCTTGAAAGGCGGAGGCTGAAGTCGTTGCCGTCCTCAGGGAATCAGGTGGCAAAATGAAAGGGAAACTGGGTTTATGGAGGGGCTTGAAAAGGATTGCATGTAAGGTGGGTTGCAAGCTCTTCTGCGATGTGGACTTTCAAGTTTTGTTAGATTGGCTTCCATGTCTTTGCACCCGTAGAAGCACATGTAGGGTTTAGGGGTTTAGGGTATAGGATTCAGGGCTTGGGGCTTGGGGTCGATGATTGGCGCTGGGGCTGCGCACATGCTTGAAGCAAACCTTCTGCAAAACTCTAAGAAGCAGTGAGGCAAGCTGTCTTTGCCTCAAGGGTCCATGTAACCACATGTTACACGCCGGGGCCCGAGTGTAGTTATATGGGAACACTTTTGGTACCTACACGGAGCTCTTGGAAGTGACGAAAACCAGGCATGACCGAGAGTCATGCAGGGAGTCCACTTCGATGGTCACAGACGTCTGCGTTGAGAGCTGCCTTTCTGCAATCAGGTTTTAGGGTTCATATAGGGATTATATTAGGCTTATATTGGGGTTATATATTGGGATAATGGAAAATAAAATGGAAACTACTATATTATGGGCCCAAACCCGAGTTTATTGGGGCTTAGGGTTTAGGGGTATACTGCTATTGGCAAATAATTCCCGAGGGGGATAAGGGTTCTGTAGTCAAGGGTTTTTGCGGCATCTGGCCTGGACTAGGGTTTAGTGTCTGGGTCTAGGTCTAGGGAAGCGGAACAGGGCAGTCCACCATGTCTTGCACAGATCACTTGGGGCTTCCTTATATAGGCCTAGTGTAGAATAGCCAAATCAGTGCATAGCACAACAGGAACTTTTAGCGAAGTGCGGCGCGGTCCAGAAACAAAGGGCCCTTCGGGAGTCTCTGCTGTAGGGACCCCAATACATTAATACTAACTCATACAGTGGGGGCCACATTACCATTTAAGGACATCCCCATAATTAATATAGTCTTAATCATGATGAAAATAAGGATGACACTATTAACGCTACGCACTCATAGCTTGGGTACTGCCCCCACTCAGTAACAGTTGGATAATATGTATAATAGAGTTATATATAGCCCTTAATATGACCCCTAGTATAGACTGTTACTGGGTGGGGGCAGTACCCAACTCATAGCTTCTGAAAGGCGCCTCTTCGCCCTCTCACATTGCGTGCGAAGGCGGCGTAGTGCCCGCTGATTGCGAGTGGGGTCGACCCCAAACTTCCTGCTGTCTCGAGGTTCCAGATTTAGGGTTTAGGATTTAGGGTTTAGGTTGGATACTGCCCCCCCTCAGTAACACTTGGATAATGATGATAATATGGGTATATACAGCCCTTAATAGCACCCCTAATATGGACTGTTACCGGGTGGGGGCAGTACCCAAGGTTTAGGGCTCAGGATTTAGGGTTTAGGAGTTGGGAGGATTGGGGATGTATAGACTTGGGCCACAAAGTTGTTATGTGGGATCCTCTTTCGGCCCTGACTACATTCTAGACCTACATGGGCCACTCTCCGCGGAACCAAATGTCTTTCTCTGCGGGTTCAACCCTAAACCCAAACTCCTAAACCCCCAAACCCCAAACACCAGCAGGAGCTGAGCTTGGCGGCAAAGACTGGTGTTGCGTAGCTTGGGGACCTGCTTAAGGGCCTGCAGCTGTACAAATTTTGAAGCCCGCGAAGTCCGAGTCCTGTGCAAGAAGCATCACTTGCAACAGGTTTCTTGGATAGATGTGGGTCAGATGTCACAACAGTGGTCACTGCTCTAACTAGAACAAAATAAACACTTCTATGCAACCTTGGATAATGTGTGGGGCTGACACCTTCTTCTCCATTGCCTCTTATATCCCTGTCTCCGTGAAGACATGTAGCAGGCTGCATGCGCGGCTCCGCCAGTTGCTAGAGGAGAGGCGTATCCCGTACGCTGGCAGGCATCGTGCCCCTTGAAAGATGAGCCACCTGGACCCAAAACCCTAAACCACATGGGCATCGAGTATTATTATGAAATTTTCCCACATACCCACCTGAAAGCCCAGGTATATGCCATCTAGCTACATGGACCGTTAGGGCAAGCCGCGGCGCTGTTGGACAATCAATGTAACCTTATGTGGACCTGCAGGGTTTTCCCAGCAAAGGGTTTAGGGCTTAGGGAATATGTTGGCATTTGACACTGCAGCCTCCTGACAGCAAAGCCCATTTTACCGCTGTGCACACGTACCTCAGCAGCTACAGCCGCATGTCTCAACCAATACGAAGCATGGACAACTCTGAAAAAGCCATGGCCTCAGAATGCAATGGTATACATCGAATTACAAAGTATCAGGGCAACATCACTTCTGCATGGCTCAACACGGCTCAACACATCAGGCCGTTTCCGCGGTAGCTGCAGCTGCCAGAATAGTGGACCTCATAGTCGCAAGTGTTGCTCACACCTTCCCTGCAAAGGCTTCGGTGGTATACTTGGGGGTTTCCCAAAATTAGGGGTACCTTTTTGGGGGTCCCAATAGTAAGGATTATAGTATTTGGGGGTCTACATTGGGGTCCCCTTATTTTAGGAATTTACCACTTGGTTTTCAGCATCTCACCAGCCCGATCAAGGCCTGGTAGGCCATCTTCTGCATCATGTGAGCTATAGTCTAAATCCCTCGTATCCCCCTTAATAGTCCCCTACATACTCCCCTATGTAACCCTCCTTGGAGGAGTTTAGACCAGTACATGTAGTAGTGCAGCTTTAGGGGCACGGTCTGGGAAGTTGAGGCATCTCCGGCTCAGCTCCTAGGACCGTCCTGGGTTGCTGTTCGGGAACTTAAGATAAGTCACCATAATATCGGTAGAAAGTCAAGAATAGGGTTTTCTGAGTATAAAAACTTACTTTAAGTTCCTTAACTGCAACCCAGTTTCTTGGCCTCCCTGGCAAGGCAGCTGAGCCCAGCTCACTCCTTCAGGTAGACGAGCAGAAGGTTCAGAAGCTCTGCCAACTAGCAAGCGCTGTCGCTTGTCCAGATGAGGTGCACGCGCCTCGTGTGGCATGCGACAGTAATCACGGGATTCTCCGTTGGTGCAGTTTCCAGCCATGAAGAACAGGCACTGGCGCGGGCAAATGTCCGGGTTATCCATGCTGCCATAACAGCGCAGGCTTGACCTTCTCGGGCTCACGGAGCTCCTTCACCAGTGTGAGCGCCTCGGCTTGCGCATCATGGCCCAGGATTTCCTTGGAGAGATCAGGAGGATCTGCTGGCACACCACGCCACTTTCTGAAGCAACCCATGGTGACATCAGATGTGGCACACTCAACAGGCGCCACATGCAAAGGCAGCGCGAACTGGCATCGACAGCGTGGCACCGTGTCTTAACTCCTCAGGCTTATCGTAGACGAAAAAATATTGTCCTTTCCTTGGTCATGTACGAATCCCCACTGGTCAGGCATCCTCCGGGAACACGGGCCAGCTTCAGGGCTTCAGCCCGCCCAGAAAAACTGTTCAAAACAGGACCGCCTTTCGAACTAGTGCGCAAAAAGCTGTGCACGATTGCTGCTCCGAGTTGGGTTGTTCAAACGCGTACCATTTTTCTGCACCATCTCCGACTTCAACTGAACCAAATGGCCGAGTGATGTCTACCATGACAGGACTTACATGGGCTTGCAGCCAGTTCAGGGGAATCCGAAAGGACCACATTGGTTTATACAAGGGCTATGTTGGGACCATAGTGCGGAGACCTTCTATAGGGGTACGACACTAGAGGTAAAACCAGGAACCTTTGATTAAGTAAGCATGCTGTTCAGGTTCCTTCTCCACTTACAGTAAGAGGCGCTGCCTGTCAGGTCCCGGAATCCCAACCCCTAATCCCCATATACCCCCCACATTACCCTAAACGCTAAACCTTACTAAGCCCTATATATGTATAGATAGATCCATAGATATGTACATATATCTATATATGCCTACATAAAACCCTATATCCCTGCCACGGACCTTGAGAAAGGCAAGACCATAAATTTACTGGTTTCGGGTTTAGGGGGTCCATCAAGGCATGTGAGCGCCTAGCGGGTTTAGGGTTTCAGGGATTTATCAGGGGAATATAGGGTGTGTATACTGTGTGTATATATATATATTGAAGGATTCCTACTGGTCGTAACATTGGGGGGAACGCTTTTCAGGATTCCCCTTGCTTTGCAGGGTCTGGATGTCGATTTTGGGAAGTCTGCTCATATAGAAAATACTTAGGGCCCAAAGGGGTGCCCGTGTAAGTACTTTGGGGCCCAACTGTATCATACTTTGTAATTAGTTACATGGCCTTTGGGTCTGGAACTCAGGCCCTAAGACATGACTAGCTGTAAGATGCCTTGCTCCCATCCCAACAGCAAAGCTGCTTCTGGGCCCACGTGCTGCAAGCATCTGAACTCAGAGCGCCGTCCGTCCTCCGGAAGTCGGAAATGCAGTGGCTGAGGATCCGGTTGTCGAAGTCCTTGACTGCTGGGTTCATGATGCTTCCAGCGTTTCACACTCCAAAGCACTGCTTGCCAATGTGCCATGTGGGTCTGCTGACAATTGTTAAGAATACGACATGCTTGAGGCGTAGTATGGGGAACCTTGAAGCTTCCGAGTATACACTACATCCCACTATATCCCCCCATGGACCCTGTGCAGAAGCTATCCCCGCCAACTGTAGCGGAAGAACAGTCCAGCATTGGGAGCACACAGGGTAGCTCCACAAGATTGCAGAGGCCGAATGTACCCTTAGCCCTAGCGTAAACACCCTAAGCCCTAAACCCTATACCTTAGGAGGACCACCCACCCTGTAATAGTGGTATATAAGGAATATAAGAGGACACTTATATAATCCCTAGTATCCCCTATAGTCACTATTACGGGGTGGGGGGTCCACCTAACCTATACCCTACAAGTTGCGCGAACAACAGGTCGCTAGGGCTTCCAAGTGCTCGAGAAACCTCCCCTGAATGGAAGCTTGGCAGGAGTCAGGCGGGTCTAGGATTTAGGGTACCCCAAATTAAAATGCCATAAGCAGGACCCATGGTTTTGACAATCTACCAAATCTTTGAAACCCACAAATATGCCTTGAGATCCTCAGACCCCTGGTAAAAATTGCATTTTGAGCCTCTTAAAACTGGGATGAATCGGTTCCACTATACAACAAATCGGGAAATTAACTAGTGATTGTCCCAACGTGCCACCTAGTAGGATTATAGATAACAGAAATTAAAAACATGCTTCAAGCAAGCTCTGGGAGCTACTGGCGGGGGTGCCACGCTGACGCTCAGCCCCCTCTGCTTTATGCTGTTTAGGTGCTTAGAGTTTAGGGGCAGCAAATAATTGGGTACTTGGGACCTGGCACTAATAATTGTGGCACAGAACCCTGAACCCTAAACCCTAAACCCAGGTTTCAAATAAGTTTGGGGATCCAAGGCTAAGTATCTAGGTGATGAGCGATTAAGCATTGCAAGGCACCTCGCCGCCCAAATGGGGGTCGCCAGCTGTCGCTTTGACCTCAAAAACGGAGTCCTGCACGCGGTTTAGAGTTTAGGGTTCAGGGTGGCAAAAGTGAGTGCATGATGACCACCATGCAGACAGTGGCAGTGTTCCTGTATTGAACCAGTGCAAGGCGAATCCCTGCAACGCAAGCCCGGCTCCTGGATGGCCAGTACAGACACATCAAAGGTACCACCGCCCATGTCGAATACCAAGATGTTCGTCTCCTCACGCCATTCTTTGGGGTACAGTCCCCCTTAAGTAGATAGAAGAATATGGCTTTCGGAATATTATAATCAGATCCCCATATCTAATATTCTATCTACTTAAGGGCGACTATAGGTACCGCGCTACTAACAGTGGTATACCAGGTATATGTGGGGTCTCTTATATGACAACCTTTCTCTCTGGTAGCCACTGCTATGCCCTTAACCCTAAACAGGGGTAGGTTTGAACATAGGTTGTAATTCCTACCACGCTGAATCTCTATATAATCCTTATACCGCCAGAAAAAAAAATCGATTTGTTATAGGGGCCCCCAAACCTACCGTAGGGCGGGAGGCATCCCACCCCAAGCCATGGGCAAGGTCTTTCCTCGCTCAAGCGCAGCTGCCTGAATTGGCGCCTCTGACGCCGCTTAGGGTTTAAGGTTTTGGGCAAAATTCAACTGGGTCTTGAAATCCTGCAGTACAACTTCTGGGGAGGAATCCTGCTCAATGCGCAAAGGAATAGTGGCGGTACTACTAAACCCAATAGCGATGAGTAACAAACGAATAATCATAGCAGTGATAAGAAGCGGGGTAGCAGAAAAAGGAGTACAGTCCACTTCAAGTAGATAGAATATTATGGCTTTAGGTATATTGTAATAAGATCCTCATATACCCCACATTCTACCTACTTAAGGGGGACTACAAATCCATCCTGCAAGTGCAAGCGGAGTAAACCACTCCGCCCAGCACTGACTTCAACCTCTCGGATGAAACATAAAGCTCTAAAAGGATTCTAGAAGGGTTATATAGGGGCTATAAAGGGGTTGTATAGACAATACATAGGGCCATATAGGGGCTACAAAAGGGTTACATAAAGATAGGATGAGGGTTATGGGCGCTTGCAACCGCGGTTGAAAGGGAATAGTAGCCTGCCAGACTTTGCATGTCACTGCCGTGCGCATGCAGGTTGTTATTCACATCTCCTTGTCCGGTTTCTTGCCCTCGGTGGTGTCCTTATCCAAGCCATACCTCAACTGCTCTGTCTGTCCCTTGCAGCATCACCAAGCAAAACACTCTCAAAGTGGCCATGTAGCTGAGTCTACTTGGGCCCTAGAATATTTATGTGGGAACCCTTTTCGGGCCCTAGACCCTAAACCCTAGTTTCTATGTACCTATTGGCCCTGTGGGACGGCGACCACCTACCTAGCATGTGTGAGCATGCGAATCCTCCTCCTGTCCCAGTACTACCAGCTCTGTTACAAGGTGCTTGCAGGTTTGAGGGATGTTGTAGGGAATAAACAGATCCCGAAGCCGAAGTAACTCCCAAAACCTGGCTTGGTTTTGTTCCATGGAACTTGGAGATATGGGAATTCTCAATAGTTAGCGGCCCTGAGTGACCTAGCCCAAAAGGGATAAAGGGATAGATTTCCCTAGGAATCCACGTATATAGATAGTACCTACTTCAGGCCCCAAAGTCTGTAAGTATCACCTACATTGGGCAGTTTGGATCCCTAGGACTATGCCTTAAATCCACTAAACCCTAAACCCTAAACCATGTTAGGGCTCCTATTCTAATTTCGGGCATTAACTAAACCTTATGTTTTGGATCTTTTCAGTGCCTGGTCTGAGCCTGAGCTGGCGGGTGAGATTGGAGATGCGGGGGCTACGCTTCCAGTATCACGGCTGCTGCCTCCACAAACCCTTAGGGTCCAAGAACCCAAAATAGCAGAGCTTTAGGGCCCAAATACCATTACCATTCTAGCATTTGGGCCCTGAAGCCCTATTATTTGGGTACTTGGACCCCTAGGGAAAGGGACCCTAAACTCCAAACCCTAGACCCTATGATAGCAACCTTTAAGTCCAGACTTGCAAGCTGTTCAATGGACTTTGACCTGATCTCAGCATGGCCGTGTGAAACCCTGAATTTCGAGAGCTCTTGGAAGGAGACACCTGCAACAGGACAGGTGCAAGATTGAGCGTTGGGATTTTGCGGTGCAAGATTGTGCCAGCAAATTCCTAGTATGACTCTGGGTTGTCCTTTCAGCCCTTTGAAAATTATCTACTAGTAAGGTTCTCTACAAAATAATACAGTGAATCAAAAAAGACACCAAAAGGCAACCCAGGACTGTATAAGTGGCGTCCTTGTTGGCCAAGCTGGTATTCTTGACCCTGGCTTAACTGTGCAGACTCCTCTTTCTGCCTGCCTTGAACACCCCACCTGTATACAACAAGCTTGCAAATGATCATGAATCCTTGGAGGGTCCCCTACCCGTGGAACTATATCCCTATATCTAACCGTATATATACCCTTAATATTACCTTATATAACCCCAATATAAGCCCTAATACCCTGGAACCCTCAGTCTTGTCAACAAGCAGCTCATTGTAGATCTCAAGGAAAGAGCAGCACACCAGAAACTTGCGCGAGTCAGAGGACAGCCGATAAATACCTCGGGCTCGCCCACACTCGCCACTCTCAACTGGAAACCGGTCTCCGTCCTCAATGCTCAAACCCTAAGCTCAAACCCTGAGCTCAAACCCTTGAGAAACACAACTTGCTTGTGCCTTATAGCTCTTGAAAGAACACAACTGGCTGGTGTCTTTAGTGTCTAAAATGATGCTTGCATAGAACTGTTCACAGCATGCGGGAGGGAGCGGCTGCCTGCGAATTCATGCAGAGGACGACCGAATCAACTAGAGCAACTTACTTGACATCGACGTTGAAAGGATTGTGCCACCGCGGTTGCGCTACAACTGCATTACATCGAGTTCTCTGGGTTGGAAGACATACTCTCCCTCCCCTCAAAAATTGGCCCTCGCACCCTGTCTGAACACAATCAGCAAATGTCATTCTACATTAGGGGGTAAGACATTGAGAGATTTGGGGCTTGGAGGAGAGTTAGCTTATGACGACCATCACTGCGACGCTCTTTCATCAGGCAAATTGCTCCAAGCAATGATAAAAAATCAAACGGCACATGAAAAGGGAGCTACATGGAGCTACCATGTATGGTTTAGGGTTTAGTGAAAGGAGAAACAGATTTAGGTAGCAAACATGGACCACGAAAGGGAGACTGGGTTCATGTAGCGGCTTACATGGTGAGACTGGTGACACATATCTGACCGATAATTCCTTCATTTGAGTTCCTAGGTTGCTATCCCCATACATACACAGAGAACCAATTTTTGGCTTACGGAATTTGTGCTTCCCCTAAGTCTTGGGGCACGAGTGGAGAAAGCTCTCTGACCATGTTAAGCTGGGTGGTACTTTACAGGCCCCAAGGTTATCTGTTAATAGAGCCCCTTATACAACAGTAGCGGAAATGATTAAATATCCCAAAATGCCACCTAGTAAAACTTGGACCACAAACCCCGAGTCAACACCCCTGCATGCGTGGTCTGGCTCTGTTACGTTAACTTTCAGGAAAACAGGAAAACATCTTTAAGCGACACTTCCGATTTACCATGCTCTTTAGGCGCAGGATCGAACTCATAATTAAACATAATGTGAGAGCCTAAATAACTGCCGAGATCGTGGTCCTAGACTGCTTGTATAATTCTAATATAGTGCAGAATACATCCGCCGTTTACAAAAAATGGAATTTGGTATGCGTCTAGATTAGTCATTCATGTTATTTACCATCCGCTCATGCTCGGAGTGCCGGGATGAACTTACTGAACGTAGGAAGAAACCCTCATCCACAATACGGATTCGTATAGGGTAGGTCTCAGAACCAGCCGGAGCCCAAAATCCCTGCACCGCCTGCACCCGCCAAACCCTAAGCCCCCTCAACCTAACAAAGGCACATTCGAAGAGCGACCACACACAGGAAACCTCTAGGACATAGTGGGGTTTAGGGTTTAGGGTTTGTAGGAATATGCAAGGAATATATGTACCAAGGTCCTTATCTTGCTATTAAATTCCTGTTGTAGTCTTGGGGTTACATGTTTGGGGTCCCAAATACCCCAACAGTCAAAAATGCTCCAGTAATCATATCCTCGCCTGAAACCTGTACATTGCACTGCAAATTATTACCATTCCCCAAATCTCAAGTACCCATTTTATTGGTTACTTGAGCCTTAAGGTTAAGGCCCCTTTTAACCAAGACACGCTCCAACCCTGAACTCTACACCCCCTCAACCTATAGTCCCCCTTTAGTAGATAGAATATGGGTTATATGGGGATCTTATTAGAATATACCCAAAGCCCTATTCTATCTACTTAAGGGGGACTGTAAACCCTAAACCCAAATCTGGGTGCGCTCGAAGAGTGTATCCGCTATCCTCGGAATCAAGCCCCGATCATCCTTGTTGTTTCTGTCAGACCTCATAGCTCTGACGAGGTTGGGGGTTTAGGATTTAGGGGTTTAGTGCTTGTGGTTTAGGAGTTTAGGGCGGGATTTGGGCTTGGGGAATAATAATGGAAGACAGAATAGGTAGCACTAGATGGTTTAGGTTTCAAGCTTTAAAGGGGTAACTGCCTTACCAGCGGTTGGGACTGAAATCGAGAAGATGGTTCAACATGAACTGGACCCGGGATTTTTGTAAGTACCACAGCAAGCCGGAGTTTGGATATCGCTCCCACCCAGAGCAGTCCCCAGATGTTGAAACTGGAGTTAAAACAACTGGAATAAGGGCGGTATCCAAGCTAATTCGTTGAGAGTCCAGCCTAAGGGCGCGGGGATTGTGAGAGTATGGACCCCCTTCTTAGACTTCGGATGTACGTGAGGAAAGTTTTTTTACAAATAGTTTACCCTACACCCAAGAGCCTAAACCCTAAAGCCTAAACCCTAGACCCTAAACCCTGAACCCAAGACCCTAAAGCCTCAACCCTAGGCTTCATAGAGGAAAGCCGTCTTCTGAAGCAAAGAACTTGTGACCCATCTACAGCTTTAGCTGAAGGAGAATTAGGGTTTAGTGTGTGGGGTTTAGGGTTTAGCGTTTAGGCATTCAGAATCCAGGCACAACAACCACAGCATAGCCACCCATGCCAACTGCATCAGTATGCTGACCAGTTT